ATAATAATAATAATAATAATAATAATAATAATAATTATTATTATTATTATTATTATTATTGGACAGCAGCAACACCACTCGGGAATTTTACTTAGGTATTTATTTACCTGTTTCTCTCATTCCCACCCTAATACTTTATGCAAAATCTGTACGGGTTATTTTTATTTTTGGTCCTTTAAAAAATTTAGAATACTGAACCTAAGAACATCCACAGTAACCATTCAGGAAGCACCACCATCAGCCATCAGATGTCCGGTTTTTTCTTTCTTAATGAAATATTCATCCCCCTAGAATTTATTGTTTTTCTTTGACATGGTGAGAGGGAGTCAATATTGTGGGAGACAGAAGGAGTTATTTTTAGAGATGCTTAGACAATCAGTATCTGCCACTCTCCCAGAAAATGCCAGCTGATTAAAGGGGCAAGGGGAAGGCTTCCCTCTATGTGTTCGGAACTTGAATCTCACATACCTTCCCAAGCGAAGCCACAGAAGAAAAGGCGGCAACCGCTGCAAGTGCAGATTAGGCCAGGCAAGAGGTTTCTTTCAGAGCCGGGGCAGCACGGTGGATTAAGTGGGGGGAAATCAGGGTCAAGTCCAGCCAAGAAAGTTCACAGAATGACTCTGATCCAGTCGCCCTCTCTCGCTCGAGCCTACCTCACAGGGTTCCTGTTGTGGCGATAAACCGAAGAGGGACCGCCAGGGAGAAAAGGCAGGATATAAATCAAGCCGACAAAAATAAATGCACATAAAGTGGAGCCCTTCTTAATGCCGGAACTTAATCATGCTTTAACCTGGAATAGGTCTCTGCTGCCTCAGATGTATTTACTTACAAATATCCTGCAAGAGTAATCCTACGCTCACCCTGAAAGCAACACGATTTAGGATTGCGTGGTAAAATCAGAGTCTGCCAAGAGTGCCTGGTAAGTGACTGGAGCCCCACTTGGAAACCTGTCCCTACAATCTGAGTGGGGCTCAGCTTCCATTCTAAGCAATGGCATCGGAGAGGGGAGGGGAGGTGGCTTGTTTATCTTTGAACCAACAATTCCAGATTCTTGGAATTGTCTTTTCCCAGCCCTGTGTCCAGCTTTCAGATGTCCCGATTTTCTTTTCAATAAAGGAAAGCACTATAAATTATTCTTTCTGGGCGAGGGGGACCAAAAATTATCCAATACTCATTGTTTGCTTGTTTTTCAATAAAAAGTGGAGTTTTTTTCGTTCCCCTGTCCTGTAACTTACATTTTCCAATGCTTCCGTTTCTGGCCTGTTTATTGATTGCATTTGTTCCTCACTCATGATTTGAATCAAACACGCGCTTGCATCTGGCCCATTTGCTCCTGATCTCTCTCCTTCCCCCTCAAGATCTCACCAAGCAGGTCTTGTTCCCAGACGGGCTGGGTGGGGAACCTGCTTTTCAATGTCATTTCACTATGTGGCTCGTGTTAGGTTTCAGGGAGCAGGCCGGCCCTGCAAAATTGCGCCTGGGGAGCATAATCAACCTTTCTTGCTACCCTCTTCCATGAATGAATACTGTAGTTAAGTAATATTCGCCTAAAATGCAATGTGCGACCACAGTTTAAGAATGAGTAGTCTGTTTCTATTTATCAAGGGGGTCAAGTTAAAAAACAAGTGATTGGTCACTTGGGATGAGCAAAAAATCAAGAACAAAATACCGTCTTGGATTGAAATGGAGGAAAAGCAGTAGCAAGAGATCCCAGATCTGTAAATCTCTGCATAGTTCTTGCAGCTGGGGAAAGATTAAAAAAAAATTAAAGGACATTTCTCATGCAGAACTGCAGAGGCACTTCAAAATTTTACTGTGTGAGCCCGGAGAGTTTTTAAATTAGTTTTCACCACTCCCTTGCTGCGATGCAGAAAAGTTACTTTGGTTTATTGACCCTATCTTTGGATCCACCTGTTTCAGGTGGAAGAAAATATATCGGTTTTCTTTGTAAGTCAAGATTCTGGAGGAAAATCTAGTCTGGACATGAAGAAGATGATCATAACCATGACGACGACGATGATAAGCTATAACTATGTGACACAGTTCAGTTTTATTTAAACATGAGATTCCCAAAACCTTGCAGCCCAAAGAAGAATATCAGTAAAACGGAAAAACAAGAAATAGAGAGTAGAACTTTCAAAAACAATTTAATAGTGATTTGTTTTATATGAATGGGGGAGGAGAATGTAAGGACTTAGAAATTACTGTCTGTATAGT